AATATTAAATCCTTCATTATTTCTATAATATTTCATTTACTACAGACTAATATTATAGTATTTTGTAGGTCTTTAAGCTGAGTTTGGATTTTATAAAAATTCTTATATATATCACTTTCTAGTTGTAGGATTATTTTATTATACATTTTAAAGCTTTTATGGTAAATTTTTTAACAATTGCTTTTAATATCTTAAAAATTTCTTCTATTTTGATTTCTATATCTCTAACTTAAGAGATTATGGTCTTTGAGTCTTTGATAAACCTTAATTCTTATTTTATCTTTTTCAAATCTTTAGAATTTTTAATTTTCATTTATCTTGTCTCTAATAGACTCAAATTCTTGTGAGAGGGATTTTCCCATTCTTTGATTCTTCTTAAACTATTTTCGTTGATAGTTTCTATTTCTAGAATCTTATCAACGATAATTATATTTTCACTACGAATTATGTTTTTACCCACTGTATTGAGTAAATACATGTTAATCCCATCTATTTGTTCATTATTCATACTGATTTCAATAAATCAGCTATTTCTCTTAATTTATTAATCCTATATTCTCTAAATCTAATATGTTTATTATATAGTGCTACTCTAGCGTTTGCTTTGCCATTTTCTTGTCTTAACTTGACTAAGCGATTTTCTTTAATTTCTACTAGGACTCTTTCTTCAAATTGCACCACTTGCTCAATTTGATGACAAATATTTATTATTGTTCATGTATTTGTGGCAATATCTCCCATGAAGACTTTCTTGGGGTTTAATTGTTGTCTTATGTTTTACTTGAGGACTAATCCAGTAATTTTTAAATTTTATATAACGCCACTTAATGGCTCTAGTTGCCCTAGGGGTTGATTTGCCACTAATTTTTGAGTGTAAGGGGTGTTTTGCCTCCGTTCTCAGTTCAAGGGCTTATATGCCACCATATTGCCAAAATGGGGGCTTTTTTGCACCTTATGCCCCACCCAAAACATCCAACCAATGCTAATTTCAACCCTCCAATGTCTCCCAAGCCATTTGTTAATTGCAATTTGCAATCGAGATTTCAAGGTCATCACTATTGCTGTACATGAATGCTACCAAAATCAATCACCCAAAGGAAACTCATCTTTTAGAAAATGATCAGAGAAAGTGCTTCATTTTGTTTACCTAATGATGTTTCTTGAACTTCCAAGTTCCAAGTGTTGATGGATAATTGCATTAAAATTATTGCCATCGAACATGCACTTGTTCATCGTCCATTTATTCTCTATTTGTTAGTTGACATAACACATGCTCATCATGCTTATATCACAAAATAAATAAATTTTGAATCAAGTATTTGAAATTTGATTTTATATCTATGTTGTCAATTGCAATAAATACCTTAATAATTGACAACATGATGAGAATTAATTAACTATATATGTCGCGTAAAAAATTTAATATCATGTCAAAATTTGACTGCTAGATTTCAATATAAGACTCACATCTAACTTATAACTAATTAATAACAGTTAAAGTAACCTTTATTACATTTAATGCAAGTGCCTTTTTCCTATTTGTTCAAAAAGTGAGATTTTTTCATTTAACAGATAATCCTCACATGCATGTGCAATATAAATTTTGGGTCATGTCACATGGATCTCAAGTACTAATTTAAAAGGCCCACCTCACATGCATGTTCGATCTATCACATGGATTTTAGGTTAAAAACATGCTTAATATGTCCTCCCTTCCTACTACTAATATATATATGCCCTTCCCTCCTATAATCCTGAACCATCACAAAATCTCAAACTTCCCAAAAATGGAGTCTATGTTTTGATGCCATGATGAATATATAGAGATAAGAAAAGTAAAGGCATGAAGTTAAGAATGAAAAGAGATTTGTTGTGATTCACTCAATAAATGGTGACCTAAATCCACATACAAAGTGTAATATCCCAAAATTTACTAAAAACCTTAAAATTTAAGTTAGGGACTTATGTGAGGAAAATTATTATTGATGGGCCTAATAACTAAAACTTTCAAACTTAAGGGGGGATTAAAAGAGAAAATTTGTTGATAAATGAGTTAGGTTGACTTCTTTTTTCCCTCACTCCTGCGTGTTTTCCAGTCCTAAGTTACCCCAACACCTCTTCACCATGAGAAAATAGATAAAAACTTAACTTTTTCTTCTTTCTCTTAGCAAGGTTTAGAGATCAATGAGTTTATGGTTCCAAAATGATGCTCAAAAATTTCATATTTGGCTGCTACAAACTTCCAATCTCTTGGTCTGTGTTGGGTTTGCTGTCTATAGTAAGGGATCACCATTTCTAGCACTTTCCGATAAGCAGTCAGCCTTATTGCTCATCTTTTCACTCTTAATTCAAATTGGGTTAACTCTAATCTTCTAGAGTTTTCAATTTTGAGATTTTTTTTGTAATTTTCCTCCTTGGTTTTACCCTAGTGCCACCAAATCTGATTCCTTTTGCTAGAAATTATGACAACATGACCTTTCAGTTGTGTTTTGCCCAAAACTCTTTCTATAGATATCGGATTGAGTTCATTCTTGATTTTATGGAAAGTTAAGAGATAATCCTAAAATTTTTACGTTGGACATTTAACCTAGTTAAGCTGTTTTCATGGTGAAAACTTTGTTGCAAATTCAATTCCCGCAGGTGGACAACAACTAGCAGCCCAACCCTAAGTTAATATTTTGGCCATAACTTTCTTTGTAAATGTCAGATTAAAGTGATTCTTGAGCCTATAGAATGCTAAGACATAGGGTTACAATTTATCTTTAGCCATTTACCCCAAATCAGTCAATTTTTGGGCATGAATTTTGTTGAAACCTCTAATTCAAAATCAAACTAGAGATTTGCTCTGTTTTCTATTTGTTTTCCACATTATCTACTGCTACATTGCAGCATGGTTATAATAGACTTTTAGCTCCTATTTTCTTACTTTAAAACCCCTTGTTATTGCATTGTTGTGGCTATCTTTTTGCTACTACATTTATGCTTGAATGCTACCTAGTTTTGGTTGTCTTTTGCACTATTTTGTTGCTATTTTTGCCCAACAAATTTTTGTTGCTCAGGCCTTTTTCCAAACTTTTTGAAACTATTTTAAATAGCAAAAATCCTCACCATACTACCCAACTTTCGTGCTACTGTTTTAGGGTAGATTTGAGCTTGGTTTTGGGGTGGATTTTCCACTTTATTTTGTCTAGCAAATCTGCCTTATAAACCCACCATACGTAGGGTCTTTTAGTGCTATTTTAGACATGTTTTAAGTATAATTATGCATAAGAACATATATGCATATATTAATAGGGTTTTGATGTGTAGAAACAACCAAGAAGGGTAAGAGGAAGTTGTCTCTTTGGTTAGAAACTTGATTTTGGAATTTGAAACCAAATTAGTTAAATGGAGTATGTTGTAATCTTATTTATTCATTGATATGGTATAAGTTCTAAATCACCTTAAGTACTTTGAGTTCTTGAATTCCTTGCTTGTTATCTACTTATAAGGCGAGGTAAGTAAAATTATAATGCCCTTGGATTTTAAGGTAAAGATTTTTAAAGCATATTTTGAATTGTTTTTGAAATGGTGGGGGGACTAAACCCGTTTTACAAAAAAATGAGCATGATTGGTTTAGAATGAAGTTGTTATCATTTATTGATTTGAGCATGCCTATTTGGAGTTTACTGAACTGTTCTAATAGCTTGATATTAGTTTGTAAATTATGGATTTTCCTATAACTCTTGCCTGGTTTAATCTCTAATATGGCCATGTTTTGCTGTGCCCGCTAATGGGAGGTTTATAAACGTTAGTATATGTCGGCATGTATTCCTAGATATCGGTTTGTCCTATTATTCCTACCATTGGGATAGTACGCTGGTTATTTTTGTGCTCGCCAGTGGGAGGTTTATAAACACTGGTCATGACCTATAAAAGAGACATCTATTTCATTCTCGGACTTGTTCCATTTTTTTTCTTGATGCTTGATTACACTTGTTCGCATGTTATAACTTTAATTAAGGGCTATCCATATTTTATTTACTGAGTTATCTCACATAGTTTTCCTTGTCCACCATTTCAGGTAGCAAGGCTAGAGATGGGGAAACCAAGGGGAGTGATGATCTTAAAGGCTAGCCATTTGTATTTTGGATTTAAATTATCGTGGAGTTAGGTTGCTAGTCACATATATTTTTGGACAGAGATGATGGAAGATAGATCATTTTTTTGTGGACTAGATCCCCTTGAGATAATCTTAATTTTATTAATGGAGTTGTAAAATTTTTGTACATTCTTGGCCTAGTCAAATATTGGTTACAAAGTTAGATTTTAATTTAAGATTGTGGATCTTAGTTTAGTGGATTGCAACATATGAAACAAGTAGGTTCCAAGCCTTGTGCATTTGTGGGATCCTTTCACAAGTGTACGATGTTTGTTTTGTTCCCAATTTTGCGGTGTGACACAAAAGCCCTAAGATTTTAAATTATGTTACTTCTCAAATTAACTACATATTATCTCAATGGGTGTAGAAAACAAAATAGGAAATGATTTTGGGACAACCTTTTTGTATGACCTTTTGATATAACCTGACATGTCATTTAAATAATTGGTTGTTTTTATTTACATAAGACCCATGATATTGAATGCATCCACTCAATTGTACTAAAAGGTGGTATAAAAAGGTTATCCCTATAGCACCGCTCAAATAAAATATGGAATACAATAATAGGGAGAAAGTTAGCAATTTAAGGATCCTAATTGAGATTTGATTCAAATCTTAGTTTGTTTTGATTATGTCAAGTCTTTCCTTAATTGTCTCTACAAAATCTTCAACAAAAACAAAAATGAAATAATAATAATAATTATATTATTATAATAACTCAAAGAATAAACCATAAGAATCTAATCTTGTAAGGATGGTGGACGAAAAGCGATTCCTTATCTGGCAATTACAAGTTTTTTTCTTTCTAGGTTTTGAGAGTTCCTTTTTCTCCCAACAATAGGAGTCAAATACCTTTCCATTCCTTCTTTTCATTGTTTTCACAATAAACAACTAATTCCAACATGATGGCTGACCTGTTTGTGCATGATCTAGCATTTGCGCTTGATGAGAAGTTAGTATTGACAATCGATGAGGATGTTGAACTCGACTTGGATGTTGAGGAGCCAATGGATCAGTTAGAAAAAGGAGCAACATGGTGCTTAGCAAGAAAATTATTGATCAAGAAGCGTTATAATATGGAGGCACTAGAAAACACTTTAGCCAATGTATGGAAACCCATAAATGGCATGCATATGCGTATCTTGGATAACAATCTATTTGCTTTTTATTTTTTTCACCTTGTAGATTTGTAGTGAGTGCTAGTTGAGGGCCTTTGGCACTTTGCCAACCATACTATGGTTCTGAAAAAAGCATGTGGTGGTAGACGGGTGACAAAGGATGAACTTTTTGAAGTTCCATTTTGGATCCAAATTCATGGCTTGCCATCAAATCAATTGATAGTAGTGACAGGTTAACGGATTGGTGCAGAGATGGGGAAGCTCATCGATGTAGACGCGAGGGATGGTGATGCGTCGGGCATAGATTTCATTTGAATCCAGGTTGGTGTTCATACTAGGAAGCCTTTTCAACGTGGCATGAGGCTATCTCTGAAAGATGGGCCGATCTAGGTGGATTTTAGATATGACCACCTCAAAATTTTCTGATATTGATGTGGCATGCTTGATCATGTTAATCGTGATTGTTAAATGGGTTTGGACATGGAGCTATTGGAGAAAATGGAACGCCCATATGGAGATAAACTTTGAGCGCTACCACGCCACCTACAACAAGCTAGTTCCATGAGTACATGATAGTGGCTCCATGATGGCTCCCGCAATTATGTGGCGAAAGGGGCTCGGTGGAGGCATTCAAAGGCAAATATGGAAAGCTTGTGGGCACGAGAATCAAGCAAATCTTACAATGGAGGTCAAAGCCTTGATTGGCAAAATGATAACCTCAAGTTGGTGAGTGGTGATCATGCACTAAATCAGTTGACAATAAATGGAATTGATGCTATCCATAATGGTAGTTTGGGAGAGAGGCCTCTGCGCAAGAAAGGGGTTGCAAGAAAGGAACATGATGGTGATATAAGGAAATTGATGGGATCAAAAACCAAGTTGATTATGGAAGAATTTATAGCACATGATTCTAATGGGGCTGTGCTCAACCAATTTTCAAACTTTTTAGGGGGAAGCTCAAGCTTTCAAATAATGAGGCCAAGAAGGCCTATATACCTCGAATCTTGGCCCAAAAGGCACAAGCAGGTGAAATGGACCCAGTCTTTGTTTTTTCATTGAAATCGAAGGCAAGGGAGCCAGGAACCAAGACTAGAGCTTGGAAGGAGGCAAGACATGGAAGGCCAACTACTCAAGCTACTTAGTTTTCTACTAGTAAAATGAAGAGGAATGAGGAGCTAACTAAGCCATTGACAAGTAAAATGCCAACTGCAAAAAAGAGATGTAAAGGGGTGGAAAAAAATGGTAACATGATTGTTCTAACGATAGGTGCTGCGATGCAGGCCTACCGAACACCATGAATCTGTATTATTGGAACTGCCAAGTTCTTGGGAACCCTCAAGCAATTCAAAGTCTCATCGAATTGGTGGGACTGAAGAAACCTATAGTGGTGTTTTTATGTGAGACACTACTGAATAATGGGGGTATGGAGAGAGTTTGGAAAAGACTGGGCTTCAAATTCTATTTTACAATGGAGAGAAAGGGGTGTAGTGAACGTTTAGAAGTGATGTGGCAAAAAGAAGTGAAACTTTCTCTACTCTCTTATTTGATGAACCATATTGATATTGAAGTAAATGGTATTGGGGAGAACAAACGGTGATTTACTAGTTTCTATGGCCTCCCTAAAAGACACAACAGGAGGAATTCATAGGCATTGTTAAGAGACTTGGCAACCATATCGCCTCTACCTTGGCTCATCAATGGAGACTTTAATGACCCCTGATACCCCCAACGAGAAAGTAGAAGGAGTTCCATAGCTTGACTGGATATTGAGAGGATTTCAAGAAGTGATTGCTAGTTGTGGCATAACAGAGGTGCAGATGATGGGTAGCAAGTTTACATGGAGAAAGGGTCGAACAGAGGAAAAAGTAGACAAATGCTTGGCCACCAATACTTGGAAGACACTTTTTCCTATGACAAGGGTGAGGACGTTGCCACCTTTATCATCTGATCATACGCCGCTATGGATCACCCTTGATGGTAAACGTGACAAGTTGCACTTAAAAAAGCGTAAGTTTCATTATGAGAATATACGGCTCCGAGATGGAAACTGTAAAGGGGTTGTATAGTCTAGCTGGAATTCCATTGGGAAAAATGGTGACTGGAATGGCTTGACACTTAAAATAAAAGCTTGCTCCAATGATCTAGCACGATGGAACCATTAGCGCTTTGGCCATGTGCAACGAAAACTACGAGATTGTGGATGTGATATAGACTCCCTCAAAACTTGCCCCCAAATAGAGGCCATAAAAATTGAAGAAACAAAACGGATAAGTGAGATGGATTGGAGAGGGAATAAGTGATGTGGAGACAAAGGTTTAGGGAGCTATGGCTTCAAGAAGGGGATCGGAACACTTGTTTTTTTCGCCAATGAGCTTCTAAAAGGAGAGATCTTAATAAAGTTCAAGATTTAGTGGGAGAAGATGGAGTGTGGAGAACAAACCCTTATGAGATGCAGCAGATCGCCTTGAACTATGTTACGACTCTCTTTATCACTATATCCCCAACAAATCTCAATCAAGTAACATAAGGGATAAGGAGGATTGTTACAGCAGAGGATAATGCTTACCTACTACGTGAGTTTACAAAAGCAGAGATTGCTAGAGCACTTTTTCAAATGCACACATTAAAAGCCCTTAGACCAAATGGATTTTCCCCCAGTTTCTTTTAGAATTTTTGGGATATTATCAAGGATGATGTGGTGCAACCATGTCTTTGATTCTTAAATCACAAAGATGTACTAACTCCAAACCTAAACTTCACACACATCACACTTATCCCAAAGTGCTCTTACTCGAGAAGTATGATGAACTTACACCTTATTAGTCTATGCAATGTTATCTACAGGGTTTTGGCAAAAGCTATAACAAATCGTTTTAAACATGTGCTACAACATGTTGTCTCATTTGAACAAAGTGTTTTCCTTCCTAATAGATTGATCATTGATAATGCCTTGATTGCCTTTGAAATTTTGCATTTCATACGAAATAGGAGGAACAAGAAGAAGGGTTGGCAAAGAGTCAAATTAGACATGAGTAAAGCTTTTGATCGCGTGGAGTGGCAATATCATGAACACATAATGCGAGAACTGGGATTTGCAAATAGATGGCTAAGATTGATTATGGCTTGTGTCTCTTCAATTAGCTATGAAGTCCTCCTAAATGGCAAAGGAGCTGGAAAAGTGGTACCATCTAGAGGATTGCATCAAGGTGATCCATTGTCACCTTACTTATTCATTCTATGTGACAAAGGTCTTACAGCCATGATTCAGGAGGCAGAGAAGCATCAACTGCTACATGGAGTGAGGATCTGTGGGTAAGCATCGACGATCTCCCATTTATTCTTTGTAAATTACAGTTATTTGTTCCTACGTGCCACTAAAACAGAAGCTGCTAATTTATTGAGTATACTACAAAATTGTGAATCAACTTTAGGACAACTTGTGAACTTGCAGAGGTCTTCTATTACCTTTAGTAGAAACATGTAGCATGAAACCAAAAGGCGAATTCTTCAGCTCTTGTAGATGAATGAAATAGAGTTATCGAGTAACTATCTAGGCCTTCCATCACATGTTGGGAGATCATGCACAATAGCTTTCTCCAACCTGAAAACCAAGTTTTGGGCATGAATTAAAGATTGGCGGAAATAGCCTTTATTGAGAGCAAGAAAAGGAATTTTAATCAAATCAGTTTTCCAATCTATACCAACCTATGTCATGGGACTTTTCTACCTTACTATTGCTCTTTGTGCAGAACTTGAAAGGATTATGAATCGATACTAGTAGGGAGAGGGAGAGGATGTACACAAAATCCACTAAATGGAGTGGAAAAAGTTGGCTATATCAAAGAAGCAGGGTGGTTTGGGTTTCAAAGCTCTATGTGAGTTGAATATTGCAATATTGGGAAAACAAGGTTGAAAACCGTTGTCAAATCTTGATTCTCTAGCTACAAGGGTACTCAAGGCTAGATATTTCCCTCGATGTGACGTTTTAAACTCAGAATTGAAGCCTCTCTCAAGCTTGATTTGGCGTAGTATTTGGTCCTCTAAATAGTTAATGAAGCAAGGATGTAGGCGCCTTATAGGGGATGGCCACAACACTTATTTAGGGAGATCCATGGCTGCCAGGTGATTCCCAATTTCATGTCAAATCTCCATAGCTATAAGGTTGCAATCTTGAATATGTTAGTGATCTTATAGAGAATGACTCACACACTTGGAAGCGAGAAGTGATTACGTCCATTTTTAACCCTTATGAAGCACAATTAATCATGTCGATCCCTTTGTGTTGGGAGAGGAGGAAGGATACCTGGACATGGAACTGTACGAGAAGCAGAAGCTACTCAGTTCAATTTGGTTACCACAAGGCCATCCACATGAAAAGATCCCATGTTAATCCTTCTAGCTCATCCATTGAATTCAAAGGGCGATGTCTTTGGCACTTACATATTCCAGAGAAGGTTCACATACTGGTATGGAGTACATACAAGGAGATTCTCCCCAACTCAAAGAATCTATTTCAGAGGAAAGTTGCTATTGATCTTGAATGTCCTATGTGTCATCAGGAAATCGAGACTGTAACCCCTTACTTTCTATAATGTCATGTAGCCTGAGCAGTTTGGTTAGGAACCCCTTTGTGCCTTAGGGTATTCGAGCTTTATATAGAAAGCTTTGCTTACTTCTTTGATGCCATGGCAAACTTATTCAGTCAAGAACAGTTAGAACTTTTATGTATCTTATATTAGAAACTTTGGGAGTGCAGGAACAGTGTATTGTGGGATTACAGAATAGTTGATCCTCACCAAATAATAGAAAAATTATTATTTTTCTTGGTTATCTCATCAAGGGGGTGGTGTGCTGCAAGTGTGCAAAGGTTGAGTGAGACTAAATGGCGGCCACCTACTGTTGGGTTTATAAAGGTGAATGTGGATGGGGCAATTTTTGAACAACAGAGATTGTATGGTGTAGGTGTAATGGCTCAGGATTCTTCTAGGGAAGTATTAGCTGCCATGGTGTCTAAGGGACATGGAATGCTTTCGATGGAGGAGTGTGAAACATGTAGCCTACGAAATGCATTGAAGTGGGCCAAGAACCTTATGTTTGACAAGATTGTTGTGGAAATCAATTGCACGAGCATAGTCACAGCAATCAACAACAATCACATTTTAAACTTCAACCTTGGTATAATCCTACTAGACTGTAAGCACCTTATGGCTTCTTTTGCTATTTGTCGATTACAGCATGTTCAAAGAATTGGGAACTCAGTAGCTCATGAGCTTGCAAGAGGGTGCTCCAGGCTGAAGCTGATCTATTTTGGCTTGCAGACATACTAGATTTCATTGCACCTTTTGTAACAGGAGATTGAACACTTGATTAATATTATATCTTATCCTTGTTACCATTTTTATGAATAAAACAAGCGCATATTTCATATCAAAAAATAATAATAATAATGGTTTCCGATAAAACTAATAGTCTAACTTCTAGATTTTTTTTAAAAAAAATTTTGATAGGGCTTCTAACTTTTAGACTTAAGATAACCTCTTAAACATAATATTGAATTTTATTGTTTCAGCTCTTATTATCATATCAAAAAACTATTAGTACATACTTAATTTATTATTTTTTTATATTTATTTTGATTTAATTATTAAAATATAATATAAATACAATTAATTTAACTTATTTTTGTATTTTATATGTATAATTATATATTTAATTTTATTTATTTTTAATTTAAAATAAAAATAATAATTTTTTAATAAATTATTATGTAATATCTTAAATTGGAATGTATAACAATCATTACCTTATCATATCTCATGAATAGTCCCAAGCCACAATAGACCCCTGGCGGTTTCAGTTAATTTGGAACGGCGTTCATACCGAGTACCGACTCTCGCGTCTAAAAAAATTAAATCAAAAACTAAAACTACCCCTAATGGGCCAAATAGTTGATCACCACCCATTCACCCAATGCCAAAAAAAAAAAAAAAAAGGAGATATTACAGGACAAAGGATAATAAGGACCTAGCAAAACTGCCTTTTTCATAAAAGGGGTAAGGGGTAACGTGCTCCAAATCTTCACAACTTCACCTATTGACCTTTTCTGCAAAAACAATGAATTTGAAAGAAACATGAACAAAACCCCTTCAGATAATAAACATATTACGAGTACTACTATATTAATTTCATAATTTTAAGATAATACTAATATATTATAATATTTACAAGAAAGATATTATTGTGTAACATTGACATGTAATCATGTCTAAACCGGGCATCATGTGGGAGTACTTTGTCCTAGCTGCTGACCCAAAATCCTCGGAGAAACTCATGCTAAAGCTTAATTTTTGTTCCTGTCAGAAGCACGCATTATATGATTCTTCCCCTATAATTCAATCTGCTCGAAGCCCTAAAACCTTTGGCCTATAGTGTTTTTGTTTTCAATTATACATGATACAACTAAAATGCATTTAAATTTATACTTTCTATATCTCAAAATAACTGTATTACTTGTCCCGCACTCAGTGGCCCAATGGTAACCCCCTTACAGGGACGTACGTAGGACTAAAAGAACTTGGGATCAAATCCCAAGTCCCCCATTCTCCTTTCCCCCAAAAAAAGATTTCACATTGTTTAAAAATAATAATAATAATAATAATAACTGTATTATTTAATTTTGAATTTTTCATAAATTAATTGTCTTTTTTTTTCATTTTTTAGGATTAATAAATATTTTTTACTACAATTTTATCATTATTTATTTATTTTAATTAATTATTTTATTACAAAAAATCTTATTTTATCCTTTAACTTTTTTCTAAAAATAATATAAATAAATATATTAATATTTTCTAAGTCTTTAATTGTAAAAAAATAAAAATAAAAAAATGAAAATTATTTTGGGATAGATAAAATATAATTTTTTTCCTTCCTTAGCTTTTGGGACATTAATTAATATTAATTTATAGAATATTATTGATTCATACAGTAGATTAAGCTGCCCAATTTTCTAATTAAATTTATATGGTCTATATGGTTTATACTAAAGCCTTGCGCACATGTGAAAACAGTCAGAGTTCTTAGTATCTATCACATGCCCCCCCCCCCCCCCCCCCCTTTTTTTTTTTTTTTAATTTAATGTGGATGCTCAAATGTTGTTGCTGTATATGCATGCATAAATTGTTTGGTTGATATGGAAGATTTTGGTCCAAATTTAAGATTTTAGCATAAAAAAATAAATAAAAAAAATTATAACCTCTTGATATTTAAATATTAATATTATTTATAATATTATTATTTAAATATTTTTAATAAATTATTTTTATATATTAATTTATTAATAATATTTAATTCTTATTATTATCATTCTTATCATTTTAATTGCCAAAAAATTATAATTTTCCTTAATTCTTATTATATAGTATTGTCAAGGTTGCATTTTTAATACGGCATTCTTGTAAACTCTTCATTAATATTTAATAATTATTTATAAAAAGTATTGGGCATCTATATAATTATTAAAATATACTATAAAAATTTAAAATTAACTTAATTATTACAAATTAATATTTTTAGTATCGTGTTGCGTAAAAAAATGATTTATGAAGCAATTCTAACCACTGACCTAAATGGGTGAATTTAAGACTATTTGCAAATTGCGCCATAGGCACAACAATTCAAAGCAAACTTCAGAGTAATAAGAAACAAGAAAACAGGGGACTTAAAAGAAAAGAAAAAACAGGAGAGACAAAACCTGCCCAAACTGCGCAATGCAGACCCCCTCTTCCGCCATTGTTGTTTGTACTAATTGCCCAATTTCAAAAGAAAATTAATCGCCTCCATACTGCCAAATTGCGTCAACTTTGGCATGAAATCTAAGGGAATGTTTGTGGATTTCCTTCAATTAAGCCCAGAGTCATATAAAATAATTAACTATTATTTCACCAACTTTCAAAACATTATTGCCTCCTTGACTTTTTCAAGCTTCGCAAACAAGTAATTAACATATACTCCATTGGAAAAAAGAAAAAAAAAATGTCTATGAAAGTGATGCTATTATTTGCATCACTTCCACAATCAATGCCATTTTTTGCTTCTAGAATAAGAAGCAAAACTAGCAAGTGGTTTTTTAATTGGCATGAATAATAATGATTAAAAAAAACTTGGACTTTTCTAATGATTTTCTCTATAATCTATTGTAGAACTTATGATTGAAGTATCAAACTGATGTGAAGATTATTATTATTATTTTTTTATCTTGATTGCATAATATCAAGCAATCATCTTTCATTTTTTATTTTACTTTATCTATATGTCATAAAATTTAAACTTAAAATCTCTTATTTCAAACGGAAGAAAATTACCACTAAATTATTTAAAGTGTTAGCAAAACAATATTTGCTTCAATCATTTGCAAATTATAAGAAATAACATATATGTGAATGAAAATTATGCAAATATGTATGCATTATAGAGACCTGTGAATTTGGTAAACTAGTTTTAAGTTCAATACAACGCCTGAAGTGTATATATATATATATATATATGTATTAGGGCTTATTCTTAGGTTGGTGATGGAAAGCACATCTTCTATTATTATAAACACAAAATTATTACTAGGTTTTGACTAATCTGACAAACTTATATAAACTATAAATATATAAAAGTTAAATTACATTGCCTAGCTCTATGGTCAATTTCCAACATCAAGACTATAATAGTTGGGTATGAATAAAACAACTATCAAATTCCAATTAATTAATGGTATTTGATCTTAAATTTGATTCGAATTCATATTGTTCAAACGAAGGCGATTTTATTGAAAGGGGATGGAGAAAGTGGAACACGTGGGTAATTGGAAGAATTGAAGCCATTGTTTTTTAGTTGTGAACTCTTTGTCAAAATGCTGCTGCGCATACAAGTGCATATATGAAAATAACAACCATTTTCTCAAATCTTTTATTCCACTAAGTCACCGAGGAGGTGGCTGAATTTAAGAGTTTGTTCCCCCTCAAACCATTCTTTTTATTTTACCAAACACTTTCAACCAATTAATTATAACATGATGAGTGCTCCTTCCTCTCACATGTAAATACTCAATTCTTGACATTTATGACTGTGGCTTATGGAAGGAGGACTACCACTTTAACGTGGTTTTGGTTTCGTAATGACATGAAGTATGAACGTCCTAGTTTCCTTGTGAGTCAATTTATTTTTATTGCTTGTTGCCAATATGGACTTGTAAACTAAACGACAAATCTGAAAAAACGGTCTTCTAATAGTGTTTTTGGTTTTCTTAGAAGCTTACTTCCTCTTTTTGTGTATTTTACAGCCAGAAGACATTATTATTATTATTATCTTTGATTTGGTTTACTATTAAGCATAGTTGATAATTGTAAAGTTAATTGACAAATAATAAATAATAATTATTTATTATTTAAGTGTTTAAATTAGTCTAATAAACTAATATTTCCAAACACCCTAGCCAATTGTTTAGGGAGAAAAGGCTAGAGTAATAAAGTTAGCTAAACCAAATATACTTGTTTTTATTTTGGGTTGTACAATGAAATACAAGCCTCCCTAATTCTTTCATTAACCCCACCAGCATGCATATGACTCAAACCTAGGATCTCTTCTACTAAAAGAGATCCCACCAGACCTTTTAGGTCATTGCTTCTAAAAGATATTATTGTTCATTAAATTAAGTTGATCAATTTTTTTTTTTTTTTTGTAAGAGTCAACCAGTAAGAGTTTCATACTTTTCAAGTTGGGCTACACAATAAGAGTGCAGTATAAACACTGAATGTTTAAGGGTGTTTCTAGTTTGAGAGAAATGAACATGTGGATGAGTAAAGGAAACCAATCAAAAGCACAAGTTCTAGTATAGTTTTGATGAGAGTCATATTGCCAAGCATTACCAAAACTAAAGGTAAAAACATAACAACTATTCAACAAGCAGGTATTTTAAAAAACATGAAACCAATATACCCTAAGATTTTAAATATAAAAACATAAAGGAATAAAAGTTTCAAACATAACAACATAAAAGAACAACATTCTCAACTAATAGAAACCACAAAACAGTGCAACCTCAATATTGTTTCAAAGATAAATGTTATTCTATGCAGGTTCAATAAAAGCTTTGAAAAGCTAAGCATTTGGAGAAGATTGATGTCTTAAGAAATCTTTACCTTCACTTTGAACAGTTGCAGTTGAATTGTTTGCATCCTAAGAGCTACTTGACCCTTCTTCCTCTTCTATCAGAGACCAATTGAAGAAACATGCAACATACCTTGATTACAAACCTTCTTCAACTCTATGTCGGCACATGAACCTTTGTAACAACATCCATACCTTTAAATTTAGAAAGGTAAATATGCACAATCATTCCACAATGGGGAAGTAGCATCTTTATCAATTTCAC